CTGTGCTGTGCTGTGCTGTGCTGTGCTGTGCTGTGCTGTGCTGTGCTGTGCTGTTGCTTCTGCTTTCATGAATGGTTTTGTTAACAAACTTAATAAACTTTTTTGTGTGTTTTAGATTGTTGTAAAATATGGTCGCGCTTTGAAAACAGGCGAATGTCACATCAAGATATACTTACTAAAACCAAATGATTCAGAGGTAACTGTGATAGCGACTATTTAGCATGACTGTGGCGACCAATTTGAATAACTATTGTTCTGCACCGACTAGCGACTGACTAGCATCGTGTTCACGTGGAAACATAAAAACGTTTTCAATAGCTATTTAAATTGGTCGCCCTATTGCGATTCGGTGTATAGGAAGAGTTGGATCATAGATGCACGATAAGCCACACAAAAAATGAAGTGCGCTATCTAAAGCCTAATAGTTTTTACTGCTCGAGCATGCGCAGTATGATTGAGAGTGGACTGGGTCAATTATGCACATTGTTTTATCGTGCGCACGCGCATTCTGTCCAATAATAACCACTGGCAAATGATATTGTCAAGCCAGATGTACGATATTTGGATAGTCTTGTGTAGTGCTAATCTCTTGTATTGGTTCTGTAGGAGTACATCAAGTATCTGTTTGACTGGGTTGTCGTTAAAGGAATGAATGTCAAAAAATGTAAAGAATTAATACAACCTGAACTTAGAAAACKATTCGACATCCAAACGCCTGTACAAAAGTAAGTGTGGAAGCTATCGCAGAATAAAAGCAGTGTTAATAGTAACCATGACACTAGAGAGAAGGAATTTAACCCGTGAAATAAAAATTATTAGTCAACGTGTAATAGTCAAATAGACACAAAAGAAAACAATGGAATTAGGGTCTACTAAAGTGTATTAGTTTAATATCTATTTCACGTGTTTAATGACTTCACTCCAATGCTGACTTTACTTTTGGAAGATAATAACGAAGATGGTGATAATTAGAAGTAAAAAGATTTACTTATGAAGATCTAAAGTTATAATACCATTGCTTTTATTAAGTTTACGTTTACGAAAGAAAACGTGGAAGAACCCCGGCACCGTGTACGTGGACAGCCAGACGTTTGATGAGGATATTTCAATTTATGCCAACTTTGAGGTGTTCGTAGAAGAACTAAGCGGTAAGAATGCAATGGTTATGCATGTTGTTTCCGTTAATCTTATTCCTCAAAAGCTTTTTCTTTCCTTTCCTTTCCTTTCCTTTCCTTTCCTTT